TGAGTAAGACTTTACAAGACAGTGAAGACTTAATAAAATCTAGACTGGTTGTAATAGTTGACCAAAACAAAACGGATGAAGTTTAACAGGAATTAATATAACTACAAAGAAGCAAAAAATATAGACAGTAATTTTGTTGGAAATGTTTTGGAAATGGGTGCATAATGAATGGAAATTATAGCGGTGAAGAGTAGAACTGAAACAAATTCTATGAATTCCGAAGAGAGAATTATGAAAATAACATCATAAATGCAGTGAGAAGGTTGAAAAATATAAGACCAGATCTTTCTTTTTCAACAGATGATTGAAAATGTATCACTATAAGAAAGGAAGTTTCCTGGACAGTCTTTGATTTTAAAAAAAAGCATATGATAAAGTAAATAGTTTTGAATTATGGAATGTTCTGTATGAATATAGGATTGAAGATTGGTTGTTAAACATAAGAGCAGTATATAAGGGATGAAAAGCATAAATGAGAATCAGGAACCTATAAAATTCTATATGTTTAGAATGCTAAAATTCAACCAGAGGCTACACTTGGATGTTTCTCTTGGAACAGAAAGGTAATTTATGTTCCTCTGGGCACTGATGAAAATAAATATTTGGTTTTCCTAATATAGGTGACTGTAGTCTTACAATTCTTCTGAATTAATGAGGGAAGAATTGCATAGTTGTTTTCTCTGCCGGAGTGTGCGGAATGCAAGAGGGACACTGTATGCAATTCACGATTTTGCCCACTGAATGCTAAGCTACCTGAAGGGTTCCTTTCTCTCATTTACCCTTTCAGTTTGTGTACATTGGAGCCCTGGGCAGCAGAGGTCAAATGCCCAGCCCAGCCCTTGAGCTCCCATGGCACCTAGCCCAGCCCCACTTCCCCAAGAGGGTGCCCAGCTGTGGTTACCTCCTCCTTAAGTCTGCTGTTGCTGTGCTCACTCTCCTTAGCCAGGTTGCTCATGGTGGATGCAGGAGGGCAAAGTGAGTGGATTAGAGGGAGGCCCACTCCCTCTCCATGCAAGGAGACCCTGCTTTGTAATAAAAGCATCCTTAGCAATAGGAATGGGAGACCCCCAGGATGGCCAGGGGAGGGGGCAAGGGGATGGCAAAAGGGCAGCAGAGCAGGACTAAGGCAGGATTTCCCTCAGACCATCCCTCCCTCTCATTCCAATCTCCTTCCTTCCTTCCTTCCTTCCTTCCGGTTTCCCTCCCTGCATCCTTCCCTGCCTCTCTCTTTCTCATTCCCATCTCCTTCCTTCCTTCCTTCCTTCCTTCCTTCCTTCCTTCCTTCCTTCCTTTCCTTCCTTCCTTCCTTCCTTCCTTCCTTCCTTCCTTCCTTCCTTCCTTCCTTCCGGTTTCCCTCCCTGCATCCTTCCCTGCCTCCCTCTTTCTCATTCCCATCTCTTTCCTTCCTTCCTTCCTTCCTTCCTTCCTTCCTTCCTTCCTTCCTTCCTTCCTTCCTTCCTTCCTTCCTTCCTTAAGAACAGAGTGGCGGGAAAATATTTGAGATGAGGGAGGGAGAAAAACAGGCAAGAAATGCAGCTGGGATAGTGTCACCCTTCGTGAGGAATGAAGAAATGCACCATTGCCTGGAAGTGGTCAGCAAATGGCCCTCGCCTACTTCACATATCCGGTTTGGTGGGCTCCAGGAGAGGGGATGCCACGAGCAGCATGAGAGTCAATGTTATCTGTGCAACACAGCCCAGCCCCCAGCCTGCCCTGCTCTCTTTGAGCACTTTTAAGTGTTCAAGTTAAATTGATTGAAGCATACTTCAGTCAAGAGTGAAAGGTCAGAGAGTATTCTCAAAAGTGCTTTTTTCCAAAAGGCAACTGGACTTTTTTTTGCGGGGGGGGGGTTCTTTTGAAAACATTTTGCTTCTCATCGAAGAAGCTTCTTCAGTTCTAACTGACTGGTGGATACCCGTCTCAGTGATTGGCCAGTCAAATGGCTGAAATCAAAGTGCCCTCTTTGCTAGTTGACTCCATCAGATGCTTTAATCACAACTTTATGGAGTTTGAGAGATTTGGTGAAAAAATCTAATCTTGTGAGAAATTCTAATCTTTTGCTCCCCTTATTGTTTAATATCTCCTGTGCTTACAGTTTTTAAAGAAGGTTTATGACTATCTTATATCCATGTACGCAATGACAGTCAAACTCAGTTCAGAAATTTTTCTTTTTTTTTTCTTTTTATCATTTGGTCACACTTCCCCCTATAGTGATATATACTACATTTCCATTTGTATAATAGCCTCATCCTAACATTTCTATCTCTGTATCTAAAGTAGCATAATATGCCATTTAAAATAAAAACAAAACAAAAATCTGCATTTCCTTTCTTTTCCTTTCCTTTCCTTTCCTTTTCCCATTTCTGGTAGTATGCATAGAGTAAAACCAATATTATCATGCTCTCAAAGTGAAATATTTTCAAGAGGACAAAATTATAGAAATGACGTTATTGTGGTATTCTTCTCAATAGGACATTTTGGTAATCAATAATTGCATCTCCTCTGACATTGCCATCTGAGAGATGGGGTCATAAATGCAAACGGCAGCTCATTTTCTGGCCTTGAGAAACAACTTTAGGGTGTCGACTGGTAATGCTATGCAGCTTTGAATCATTGCGAGTAGCAACTTCTTTGTCTCTTAAAAATTTACTAGCTGTGATCTTTTCTCTGCTTATTTTATTAGCCTTCTTTTATGTATCTGTGGATGGAAGGAGTGGGGCCCTCTGGCTGGTGCAGTTCAGAGTCAATGTCCCCTGTGACATTCATAGAAGAAACTAAAGTCCAGGCTCTCAGCATCTTCTGGAATCCTGTACAACACTGTAAGTGATCTTTTTTTTCCCCTCCAGACATTTGAGGCCTTCCCTCCTTGCTTCCTTTTCTCTCCCCACCCCCCCCAGTATGCAAAAAGGTTGACAGTAGGGTAACAAATTCTGCTGTGGGAATAGAGAGCTTGACATTGGGGATAGTTTATAGCTGCTCAAATAAATCGGTGTTCCTTGCTTATTCTCCAAAGAAATCAGAACAGTTTTCACCAGCTTGATGGGATCTGACAGCTTTAACTTGGACGTTCTTGTGAAGCCAAGCCCTGTTGCATGGACAAATTGGACGAGTTAAGAAACAAAACATTTAAATGTTACCATTTTGGCTTCTCCTCAAGTGGTGCTGAGCACAGATGCTTGAAGGGGCCCTCATGTCCCAATAAGAATAAGGGTATTGTGTGAATAACCTTACAAAAGGCAGAATAGTCCTGTTCCGCTGCCAGGCACAGGATCATCCTATCTTTATGCGTTGATTTATTAGGCCAGGGATGAATGAAAACGTAATTAATATTACCAGAGCATTAGAGTCTATTTAATTTAAATGCCACTGAATATTTCACTTTCAGTTGGGAGTGACAATGTGTTCGGGGCTGTTGGTGAAAGCCTCAGCCATCTGTTACCCTGACTAAGACAGCAGAGACACTGGGAGACAGAGAGCTTCCTGCTTTGTGGCTTTTCCAAGGGTCCAGCATCATCATTTACTCAAGAATAGCCAAGGAGCATTCCTATGCATGATGGGCCCTCAGTGTTTAGGAAGAGAAAAATAAGTTCAGGAACAATGCTTGGAAATCAAGTGCCATGAAAACAGAACAAGGAGGTATCAAGAAGCAAGCCAAGTTGCAGCTGAACTATTTTTTATTGTTTGTTGTTGTTATATACACAACAATGTGAAATGACAGCTGCAGTTCTTTAACTGCTGTTGGCCTTCATATGCATCGAGTTCTTCTCAAGAATCTAGGATGTGTGCTAATGTATCAGTGTACTATATGTGCAAATCCAATAACATGGCCTTTGTAACTGACAGATAGAAATGTTGCCAAAGCTCATATTTTCTAAGTTCCATTCAAGAGTTTTGGGTATAACACCCAGCATGAGACCACCACCATGACCAGTTTATACCATAAACTTTCAATTGAGATTTTCACATCTTGATACTTCATGATCTTCATGATCTCCAGTTCTTTGTCTTCTATTCTACTATCACCTGTACTACACTTTCTTCTTTTCAACCACCATTAAAAGCACTGTCTGGTGTGAATCAAGACTTTATCAATTTGTATTTGGAAATCTCACAATATTTTAACCAGCTGATTTTTTTTTTTTTACTACTTTTTCAACCCTATGTTCCAACTTATTTTTCAGTATTGGCACAGGATAGTATTTACAGATGTTACAATGAGTCATTTTGGTGATTGTTGTGTCACTGTTTATAATTAGTTTATGTCAAACTGCTGGCCCATGGGCCAGACATGTCACGAGGAAACTGCGCCCACCCCATTGCCGGCAATGGGGGGAAACCTCTGATACATCATGTGACGTCACATGACATTGCGAGTTTGACATGTCTGCTTTATGTGATCTTCTTGCATGAGCTGAATATATGATCTATTGTTTCTTCTGCCCCTTTGCACAATCTGCACTTTGAATCATTTGATGATTTTTTAAAAATTCTGGCCTTAATTGTATTAGTTCAAATAGCTTGTTCTTGAGCAGCCAAAATTATTATTGTTATTTAGGTTTGTTCCAAAGCAATCAATATTGATGATGATGAGACATTGTAATTGACAGATAGAAATGTTGTCGAAGCTCATATTTTCTAAGTTCCATCCAAGAGTTTTGGGTATAACACCCAGTATGTCAATAACCACTGAGACCACCACCATGACCAGTTTGTACCATAATCTTTCAATTTAGATTTTCAGATCTTGATACTTCATGATCTCATGATCTTCTCCAGTTCTTTGTCTTCTATTCTACTATCACCTGTACTATACTTTCTTCTTTTCAACCAAAAAAATTTGGATATATAGCCTCGGAACTGTGCAGCAGGATATTCCACACCAAAAACAAACATTTGTGAAGGAATGTGGAAGTTGGAGTTCTTAATTCCAAATTCTTAATTCCAAAACTTTCTTGTGTAGAATCACCAGAAAGAAAAATGCTTCTACTCTAAATGGGAACAAACGTAGGAGTCCCTGCTCAGGCTTGTTAAATTCCCACTTGCAACTTGGTCAGGATGCTCACTAGAGTAGTTCTGCCTTATACTGGAATTATAAGCAAAAGGAGGGTAAATGAGAGAGACTAGTGCAAGGGGGAAGGGAGGAGACTCCAGCATTTGTGGGAGGATAATTAGCACAGTGGGTTTTCTTATAATTGGGATCATTTGTTCTCCCAGTTTTTCTCCCACAAACTGATTTCATGCCAGAGAGAAGCTGTGTGACTCACACCTTGCCATGCCAATTAGCTGATAAACATCAAATGTAAACAAAGATGGTTTAATTAAGACTAGTCACCAAACCTCTCCATGCAGCTTGTCAAAAACAGCACTAACATCTTTGCATCCATCTTTGGTCTACTACTGGTAAGGACCTGAAATGAGTGGTTTCTGCATCTGATCAATCGCTTTATTTTCCCAGAGTAGTAAAATTCAAGTAATAGAGAAAAATGGAAGAATACAATGCAGGCAGATTAAGTGATAATGTTCCCTAATTTGAAATAAATGTAAAAAACAGCTTCATGATGTAATTCAGTGTTTCTCAACCTTGACAATTTTAAGGCATGTGGACTTAAAATTGAAGTCCACATGCCTTAAAATGGTCAAGGTTGAGAAACACTGGTGTAATTTGACTTTGCAGCTTAGTAAACTTGGAAATAGGTATCAGATACACTTCCAGCGGCAGAAATATTTCTAGCATTATATTTATGATGAGATAGAGGCTGAGAACATCTTCGTGATGATTTGGAAGACTTCAAAAGCAGGCTGTAATCTTGAAAGATATTAACCTAGGCTTGAGTTTTTTGAATAAGATAATTGCAGTCTGTAAGAGCTTCCATGGGTCCTGCCACAGGTATGTTTCAGCATACCTCAAAAGATGGCAAATTTAAACTATGATAGGAGTGGATGCCTAGATTCAAATGTTATTGTCTCTTGTGTAAGTTCTTCTTTTTCTCATGATTCTAATCAGCTCTCATGGAAAATCTTTTCCATTTGTTCTTCTAAGGTAGAGATCCCCAACCTTTTGGGCATCAGGAACCGGTTACGTGGAGAGAGGTTCCCCCCCCCCCTCAGACTGGAGGGGGTGTGGTTTTGTGTGCTGCTTGCATCCTGTGGATGGGGTTTTCCTTGTTTGTGGGGAGAGGTTGCTGGCATGCCACAGCCTGGTACTGGTCCATGGACTGGGGGTTGGGGACCCCTGTTCTAAGGAGTAGACTCTTAATAAGTAAGGCTTTCTATATATAATCTCTGGTATATAATAATGCCAGTTGGAAGAATCTCTGGTTTATAATAATGCCAGAGAGACTAAGAAGACTTTATGAATAACTGTCTGCAAGAGAGTGTGAATCTGTTGGTTATTCCAAAGAGATGATAGAGAAAGATATGCTTGTTTTGGGGGGCATGGGGGGGGGTTCTTCCATCACTCCTGACCTGCCTGCAGTGTCTCATTCTAGGACAAGATAGTAGGCTATTATCATAACATGTCATTTCCTGGAATTTCTGGAACTGATAAATGAGGAAGGAAGGAAGGAAGGAAGGAAGGAAGGAAGGAAGGAAGGAAGGAAGGAAGGAAGGAAGGAAGGAAGGAAGGAAGGAAGGAAGGAAGGGAGGAAGGGGGGAGGGAGGGAGGGAGGGAGGGAGGGAGGGAGGGAGGGAGGAAGGAAGGAAGGAAGGAAGGAAGGAAGGAAAGAAGGAAAGAAGGAAGGAAGGAAGGAAGGAAATATGTATAGTATGGAACTTGTTTTTAGGAAGAAGAATCAGTTCCTATTCATTCAATATATAAAAGGGTAATAAGCTAAATTATTAATCATTCACATATTTTAACTTTGCAAGCCATCCAGAGTCACCTTGTAGCAAACTGGGCAGCAAATACATTTAATAAATAAATAAAATAAATATTTTCCTTTATGTTAATCAAAGGCAGGGGTTCCTCATACTTCTAACATTCTTTTCCACGTTTTCTTGGACCAGACAGGCCTACCCAAACATGGAAGCTAGCAAAAAAGGAAGCTCAGATTGAAAAAAAATATACTAAGAAGAAGAGAGGTTTTCTTATTAATCTGTATCCACTAGTTCACAGTGTTTTGCGGAATTGATCTTTGTATCATATACATATCTTTTTTCCACTTCTAATTATGATGATCCAAAGCATCAAGTCATTCAGAATACAATTTCCTTTGTTACTTGAATCCACAAAACTATTACTGAGATGATGCCATATTTGTATGAAGTTTAAAAGATCATGTAAGTTTATTTTGTTTTCTTTCAAAGCCTGGTTAAAGAAGAATAAATATTTATTGCCTATATTGGATAGCACCCAAAAGAATTTGTTTTAATTGGCAGGAGTTTAGATGATAGCTTAATCACAAGTGCTAGAACCTGTACAAATATCATCTGACTCTTTCTATAAGTAAATGTAAGATTTTCCAGGAACTGTTTATGCTAAGCTTAATCAAACAATATCATTCTTATAGTTAGCTAATGTATGTGGCTCAGGCTCCATTTGTAGCTCTAGTTTTTCAGTGAGTTTATTTCCTAGTTGCAATGAATTTTCATGCCTTGTTGGTGAAAATTTATATTTGATAACTGTAATCTGATTTTTGAAGGCAAGGCAAACCTTGTAGTGTGTTTGCGTATGTGTATACATAGTCATATAAATTGCTTCCCTCAGCAATTTCATATCAGTATTACATAATATGGGAGAGAGAACTGAGTCATGGTACATCACAAGTGGGAGGCCATAGGCCAGACCTGTCTTCCCCATTATCACTGACTAAACCCTATTGCTAAGGAATAGAATAGAATAGAATAGAATAGAATAGAATAGAATAGAATAGAATAGAATAGAATAGAATAGAATAGAATAGAATAGAATAGAATAGAATAGAGCTGGAAGGGACCATGGAGGTCTTCTAGTCCAGCAGGAGAAACTATACCATCTGAGTGACTGTCCAGTCTCTTCTGGAGTACCCACAATTTCTGAAGGCAAGCTGTTCCACTGGTTAATTCCACTATTAAGAAGTTTCTCCTTAATTCCAGATTGCTTCTGTCTTTGGTCAGTTTCCAACCATTGTTTCTTGTCCTGCCCTCTGGTGCTTTGGAGAATAATTTGTAGAACAGTGCCTCCATTCCCCAAAGCTGCAGATGCTCAAGAATAATGTTCTGGTTGATGGTATCAAATGATACTTGAAACGTTCAAAATGACTAGAGGGAAGCACTAGCCCCATCCAAATAATGACAAAGCACATCCACAAGAGCAATCAATGCTCCCACTAACCCATGCCCAGATATGAATTCTGGCCAAAAAGAATCCCATCAATCCACTTCCTCCAGGGTACTCTGCAACTGCCTTCTTGCTGCTCCCTCAACCACCACCCCAATGGACAAACTTGGCAACTGGGCAGTAATTGTCCAATAGGACTGGGCCCAATGAAGCCCCTCAAGGAGGTGACAGTCATAGCCTTCTTGAAGGCTTTAAGTAAGGCACCACCCAAGCCTCCCCAACTGACCCCATCCATAAGACTCAAGACTATGTCACAAGGAGCAACTTTATCAGCAAAATGTTGTGCAAGCAATTTACAAAAGCGAAGCAGGAAAACTACTTGCTCACTCCTAATCCCAAAACAGAAGCCATGATTCTAAATAAAGGCTCTGTCCAATATCCCACTAATACCATAAAGGTAAAGAAGTAAGGGGACTTCACTTTCTTACCACTTGGGCTTATATTCATGCTCAGTCAGATTCACTTTTTGCTTTTGTCCATCTATTTTACTGCTTCATCTCTTGGAGCTCTTCAGTAAACCAGGGAGTCAACCAAGATGAGGTGAGAGATCATTTAGAAACAATCACATAAAGACCCAGGATCACATAAAATTTCCAGCAGTTTTATCAGGCATTCATGGAACTTGCTATAGGTTCATTAGGAAATCCTCCAACTTTTTGCCGGAATCAATCTGAATCCATGACTCACCTAGGGAAGATCACCCTAATACTTGGGAGGAGATGGGACCTTTTCAAAAAATGACTTAGGCTAGAATAGTGAGCAGAAACAAATAAAATGAGCATTAACAGGAAGAAAGGTGAAGTTGTGTATTTAGGTAAGAAAAATAAAAGAAATATATATATATATATATATATATATATATATATATATATATATGTAGGTCTTTGGTTGTTCGGGTTTTCTCCCACGTAAAATTGGAAGTTTCTCCCACTAAGACCTACATACAAATACCCGCGAAAACCTCAGAAAACATATATATATATATATAGGATGGGTAAAATCTGGCTCAAGAGCAACACATTCCTAAAGGACTTGGGTATACTAGTGGATCATAATCTCAGAACGTCCCAATAGTGTAGTGCAGCTGAAAACAAGGAGAACATCTTCAGGACCATCAAGAGTTCAGATTGTGGGAAGTAATTATTCAACTCTACTCTGCTTGGTCAGGCCTCACAACCCAGGTTTAAAAAGACATTGATAAACTAGAACAAGTCCAGACACTGGCTATCAAGATAATGAAAGTCCTATGAGGAACACTTAAAAAAATCTAAGTATGTTTAATTTAGAGAAGAGAAGATTGAGAGAGGACATGATAGTGGTCCTCAAATATCTGAAGGGCTGTCACATTGTAGACTTGTTTTCACTCAGTCTACATGGTAAAACCAGAAATAATGGGGTAACATTTCAAGAATGTAGAGCTACAGATTAGAATTTAAGAGTAACTTGTAAGAGCTGTCAATCAGTGGAGCAAATTACTGTATATAGTGGTTTTTTCCCCTTCCCTGTAAGTTTTCAAATGGAGGCTATCAAGGATGGTCACCTCTAGGCAAGATGGGCAGCATACAAATCTAACTAACACACAAATAAATGGTGCCAGGAATCCTGCAGTGTGCAGAGACTTGGCCTCTTAGATCCGTTCCAACTCAGTGATCCCATTCTTTGTTTGTTCCACTGACAGTCAATCTTGTCTGCACCAGGAAATAATATGACCACAGCATAACTTGCCCTCCATATTACAGCTTGGAGACAAATATAGATCCAAAGTTTGACCTGTCCATATTAGTTAGGTCTGAAATTACCTGGAACAAGTCCATGATCTTCATGAAGGTCCTGAAATTTTTAGGGCACTGAGATTAAAGCCACCCAATGCCAGGATTCCAACATCAGCCCAGATAAGGATCCCTTTGGCAAAGAGTTCAGCCTGAACTTGAATAATCTTTACAGTTTGTCTCTGTAGTTCAAGTTAGCCAACAAGCACTCATACACTGGAATCTGAGACAAAATGTTTTATGGATGAATAATACCTCAACAGAATCTCTGTTGAGATTTTGAAACTCAGAAGGGCAGTTTCTGAGATGATATTTCTTTTCTTACCCAACCAGATTTTGATAATACTTATTAGGTGTATCTCCTCTATTATTAATCATGGATGAACAAGTTTTGTTCATCTATCTCAGTGGTTCTCAACCTTTTTAATGCCGCGACCCCCACCCGGTCGTAAGTCAAGGACTACTCAACCGGTCATAAGTCGAGGACTACTCAACTGGTGCAGCACCATTTGCAGAATGGGACTTTTGGCGGGTTCAGCAGGGCAGAGACAGCCTGGACAATTCCTACTGGCTTTTGAAAGCCAATAGAATTAGACTCTATTCAAGAGAGTCTATTCTATTGGCTTTCAAAAGCCAATAGAATAAAAGGGAGCAGCATTGCTAAGGAAAAGGGGGGAAAATGGCAGACTGTGTTGTTTGGTGTGACCCCCGTGAAATGGTTGTTTGACCCCAAATGGGGTCCCGACCCACAGGTTGAGAACCACTGATCTATCTAGTATTTAGCATTAACAGCTAAAGGAGGTCAGGGTCATCAGCAATCTGGCCACAGGATCTAGATTTGGAATCACAGAGAGAAGTAGGAAATAGCATAAAAACTGTTGGTTTATCCTTCTCAAAAAGAAGGAGGAGAAAGAGGAGGAAGAGGGGGGAGGAGGAGGAGGAGAGGGGAGGGGGAGGACGAAGAGAAGGAGAAATTGAATTTCTAATCCAACAGATTCAAATATCCTTCCCTCCTTTTGTTCAATAAATAACAGATTTTATTCCTAATGTACATTCAAAACAATTGGACATTATTTTAGCATCTGACTTTCATTTATAAATGTTTTCAGGTAGCTGTTCTAATGACAATGTCACTTATAACACCTTTATTTATTTGCTTTGAGGGCAGCAATGGATATCCTTAGCTTTATGCCGATAGTTTATCTTAATCTCTGTTTGTGTGGCAATTATGCATTTTGAAATCTGAGATGAGTTTTTTGTCACTAACTAGATAACAATCTGAGCCGGTCGATTTGAATCTTGTGGTACATACTTTTTTAAAAAAATCAACATGAAAATAGTTGTAAATCTTGAAATTGTAGATCAAACTATGTCCAGGGTGTGCAACCACTCCAAGGGTTGGTGCATTAGTGTGGAAGGAAGTATACAATTTCATGAAGCTGTCTAGTCCACCAGTTAGTAGCTCTTACCAGCAGGAAGCTTTTCCTAATATCCAAATGGAATCTTCCCTGTGGTTTCAACCTAGTGATTCTGATTCTATCTGCCAGGGGACAACAGAAACCATGTTCACCACCTCTGCTGCATGTTAACCTTTTAGATATTTCCACATTCAGTAAGTCTTCTGTCCTGCAAGCTAACCATACACTTTTCCTTTACTTGGTCCTTACAGGACTTGCTTCCTAGTCTCTTGTCATGCCCCCAAACCAAGAATGTCATGTGGCGATTCTTCCAAGAGAGTTGTCTCTTATTCCTCTGGAATGTAACTTTTCCTTCCGGGGAATCCAACCTATTACATTCCATCACATCTCCTCACCATCTTTCACCATCTTGGTAGTCGTCTTCTGAACTCACTTTAATTTGTTAATGTCCTTTTTCATCTTTAGTGCTCAGAACTGAATATAGTACTCTAGGCAGGGCATGATCAAGGTGTAGGTGTGGCAACTACTATTTGCCATCTGACTCTACATTCACACAAATAATATCAAAATAGCATCAATTATATGTTGACTCATGTTCAATTTATTACCTACTAAAACACCCAGATCATGTGTACTACTGCCAAGTTAAGCCTTCCCTATAACACAGTGTTTCTTTCATATTTTCTCCTGAGATGCAGAACTTTACATTTTTCCCTATTAAATTTCATTGTGTTTGTTTTGGCTTCTTGTTCAAGCCTGTCTAGGTTTTTTTTTTAAATTTTCTCCTTTCTTCTAAAAGTTTAGTCACCCTTTGCAACTTTGTCTCATCTGCAAAGTTGATAAGCAACCATTTCAACAAAATCTCTCATCCAAGGCAATGATCAAAATGTAAAACAGCATAAAGCCCAGGGAAGCATGTCTGTGCACTCTACTGAGTGTTACTCTCCAAGTTGAGCTAGCGCCATTTATTTGTGCTCCCTTGTGTGAACTTTGAGCAATTTGTGAATCCATATAACCATTTATCATCTAGCCTTTATTTTACCATTTTATTAATGAGAACATTGTGAGAGATTTTGTCAAAATGTATGCTGGAGTCAAGGTTCACTATGTCTATGGCATTCACTCAGTCGATTAAACTAGCAAGGTGACCCTCAAAAAAAAAGAAGAAAATGTTAGTCTGGCCTAACTAATATGTGACATACCCATGCTGCTCTTGTTAATTCTTGCATTCCTACCCAAGGCCCCCAAATATGATAATTAATAAACTGCTCTAGGTTCTTATCCAGGATACACATCAAGTTGATAGGTCTGTAATTTCCCAGGACCTCCTCCTTCCCCTTTTTAAAAAATAAGGACAGCATTTGTTCTCTTTCAGCTTTCTGGGGCCTTGCCAGACAGGCCTTCAAGAGCAGCTCTGTGATCATCTGTGCAAGTTCCTTCAGTGCACTGGGAGGTGATTTATCTGATCAGGGAGACTTGAATTAATCTACATAAACTAAGTAGGTGGTGTTTTTTTTAAAAAAAAATATTCTCTGGTCTATCCTGTGCTGTAGCTCCCTCCTTTTATTAGTGGCATAACAATGACTGACTAAAGTTTCATTTCCCTCCTGAGGAATCCTTCTGAGTTTCATTTCTAAGTAGTATCTTATTCATGTTAAAATTATGTCCTAGATCAGCATTAATCCTGATGGGAATGACCAGAAAGAAAATTCTAAAAATATAACATGTGTAGGATTTCTCTAGATTTCTTATTTTAATGATGCTGTACTTAGTAAGTTTACTCACAGGAAGTTTCATTGGGTTATATCAGATCTATATTCAAGTAAATAAATACAGGACTGAAACCTGTCATAAACTGGAGCCCTTTTACAATCTTTTTCAGTGTGGCACTAGAGATCTGTCAGAGAGTGAGCAGGGCTTTTTTGCTAGGATGAGCTGTTGACATAGAATAAAAAGAAGAATGGCAGGAAGCAGCGAAGAGTTTCAAAAATTGCATCCAGGGATCTTGTGTCCTGCATTTATTGGTAAACAGTTCAATGGAAGATGACAAATAAATGATGATGATGACGATGAGAACGATGAGGATGGATGGATAGATAGATAGATAGATAGATAGATAGATAGATAGATAGATAGATAGATAGATAGATAGATGAGAGAGAAAGAGAGACAGACAGAGAAAGAGGGGGGGATGGAGAGAGAGGGGGAGAGAGAGACCATAGTAATGGGTCATATTTGCAGTGAGTGAGAGGAGGATTATATCAATGGATAGAATGCCCCATTAAACTTCCAAGCTGTTGTACTATAGATATTTTGGAACTACAGCTCATGTCCCTATGATGGTGAAGAATTTTGGGCATCATAGTATCAATAAATTTGGCTGAAAACAGTTTGGGAAAGATTTGATTAATGACTCACTATAGGTGGGTGAACATTTGTCTTTCCTAACCTGACCTGACTTTTGTCATTATTAATGCTTTTTAATCCCATTTGCAGTAGGCTCTGATATGTTTTCAAATCTGATGCTTCTTCAAAAAGCTGTCCTAGCATATCACATGTTTTTAAAACTACTTTCAGGATGTTGGATTTCTAATGTCTAATTAGTGACCTAGCAATAAACTATTGAAATAGTAGGAATGTTAACGGTTGACTCCAGTTGAGGAGGATCAAAACCTCAATAATTTTATTGTCACTAATGATGAGCCATTTTTCACAAATGAGTGGGCCCCATCCTGAACTCTGGCCTCCCCAGTATAAACAGTCCCTCTTTATTGTTGGATTGTGCCCCAAGTAAGATATTTTGTGCATGGTTAACTTAGCCAGAGCTTTAAATGCTTGCCAAGTGGTTTTAATAACAGGATGTTGTTTAAAACGATTGGGAAGGATTGTGGTTAGTCACAGAGATAATTGCCAAGGAGGGAGAAGTGAATCTTCAGTCTAAAACCCACTTGGCTACATCACTGGGCCAAGAGGGAAGATCCAGAAAATCCCCTTCTTGAAGCATAAATGCATAATGATAGTTTTGAATTTGACGAAGCTGGCAGCTTGTTAGATTCTTAGATCAAAACATCTCATAAAGGCACAACAGAGACAGGCTTTGCATTTCTATAAAAGGCCATTTCTTTTCATTTACATATGGAGCTGAAGTTTACAGAAAACAAAAAAGCATATCTATATATGGTAGATAGACAGACCAATGTTGCAGTTTCGTGTCGGGTGCATTGTAAGGGGATATTTCTTCTCTCCAGTGAGAAAAAGGCTATTTTGGAGGGGTGGGTTACAAGAAAGAATTTTTATGATAATAAAGAGCTAAATATGCTCATATTGCTACTCACCAATTTAATTCTCAGCCTGCAAACTGCACTGTGCCCTTCAGCATGGTACTAGATCAAAGTAATCTAATCAGCTTTCATAACAGCCAACCTTAATCCTAACCTTTATCTAGAGATAGGCTACAAACAGGAAAATCTTCTAAAGTGCATATTTTTAATTAGTTGCAACCCAATTAAGAACAGACATGTGCATTTCATGGCCAGAATTTCAAGGACCAGGTGTAAGTCTCCTTTTTCAGCACTCTCATAACTTTGAACATTTGCTGAACAACTGGTTGGTAAATAAATACTATCTTTGTGTTACTATTGTGTTCAGTACCATCACTGTACAGATTCTTTATTGATAACTTTCAGACTATAAAAAGACATCATATCCACAAGGCAAGTGATTTATTTATTTATTCATTTATTTAATTCATATGCTGCCCATCTCCCTGATAGGATAACTATACTTTTTCACTCATAATTAAATGTGAACAATTAATTATACGGATACATTTGCAGCCCATTTTGTTACACCCTGAATATCACTGCCAGGGAGTATAATATTTAAAATGTCAGTGTCTGTTTAACTATGCTTGTAAAGTTTATTGCTGAAAATTCTGTCATTTTTCTATCCACTGTTCTATCCAAGTGCTTGATCTTCCTAGAAACAGAGTAAACAAAGAAGGTGGAGTTTAAACAAAGATGGCTGAGTACATTTTGATACCTGGAGCAAAAGAAATCCACTTGGAATTTCTGAAATGAAGAAAACATAAAATAATAAAGTAAACATTAATAAACTTTGTTTCAATAATACTCCAGTGTTATAGCCCTCACTTGCAGATTTTCAAGAACATTTGCCTAGATTGGTGTTCTGGTTCAGAAGCATCACCTTGAAGTAGTTCTTGCTTATCCTGCTGATTCATCCTGCATTCATACATGCACTTCTGCCAGACACATTTCTTGGCAGCAGCCATGCAAGCATACAGGTGGCCTGGGCACAGGTATTTACCAAAGTACAGGAGATGATGCTTTTAATTATTATATTCCCCACAGGGAACATTGACACAAATAAGGGTTTGTTGGTCATTTGTATGTGAGGCTTTCACCTTGAATGAGAACATGGTAGCTGAACAGGGAGAAATGTTTAAAATATAGTGTTAACCCCATTTCACAGATACTAGAACTGAAGTACATTTCATAGCGCATTGTGTCTCTCTCTCTCTCTCTCTCTCTCTCTCTCTCTCTCTCTCTCTCTCTCTCTCTCTCTCTCTCTCTCTCTCTCTCTCTCTCTCTTACCCTTAGACTTCATGGTCCCTCAGGGTTCTGTTCACAGCCCACTTCCCTTTATCTCTGGCATGCTCACACTTGGTGGTGCTATTCAGAGATCTGAATTTGATTATCAGATTTATATGGTGACACCCAGACTTGCTTGTCTATTCCTGCAAATTCTAGTGAAATGTCATGCCTAATTACCTTCTACCTGGGGTTCAAGACCGGGCAGTAGATCATCCATATAATGAAAAGACAAGCATGGAAAAAAAAGAGAGCAATAGATCTAAGAAGCAGCTCAGGTCTTCCTGCTAAATGTGGATTGGAAAAAATTATCTTCTGACCCAAAGTCTTTGTAGTGTTCATCTTTTGACTATGATTACCCTTTCACTTATCATGATCTAGATACTGAACAAGTGTTTTGCCCTAATCCAAATTTAACTGTAGTGTCTAACTGATAGCTGGAAATCTTTTCAGCTGTTGCAAAATTCAACTCTTAATGTCATAACAAGAATTAAACTGTCTCATCACATTACACCCATCTCATCTGGCTTTTCACTGGTTATTAGGGTGAAATGCATTGACTGAAATTCATGTGAATTGTTTACAAATCAATGCTTAATCTTCCTTCAGGTGCTATATCTGTAAATTGTTTTTGCTTTGCACAATATCTGGATTGAAAAACAAGCCACAATTTTGCCCTCTCATCTCATCTCTATTGGCATTTGCTCTGGGAAAAATATTGATAGCAAGCATAAGGAGCTTCAGAAATAAAGGCATTAAGAATGCTTTTCCCCCTTAATGACTCAAAATTAATTGTCCTAATTCCACAAAAAAGATATAAGTGCACTCATTGTCCACTGAGATGAATGGATATGTCCCCCATACCCCATCAGTAGGCATATGATCTCATGGAACTGGCCTGAAGAGAAATGGCATGTACTTTTCTCTTGAGGTCTGATACTTATTGTGTTTAACTAGTTGCCAGTAAACTGCAACTGCAATACTGGTTGGTAGGCAGTATTTTCAGGATCAGCCAGACACCTTGGGCTATGTCCAAAAGCTGACTGGAATGGCATTTCAACCTTCATTCCATATGGACCAGAGGCAATGGGAAAGCATACTTCATGGAGATTCTATGGAGATTCACAGTCATCCAGGCCATGATTATCCCAAAGATGCTTTTTCAAAAGGCAACTGGACTTTCTTTGTTTTTCCTTGGAGACATTTTGCTTCTCATCCAAGAAGCTTCTTCAGTTCTCATCTCATCTTTTGCACCCCAAAAACAATCAGAGCAGCATGATCACTACAACTGGTAATAGCAGAAAGACACTTGGATTCAGTCCCTTCCTTCGTAGAGCTTGCAAATCCTTAGTGCTAGATATCTGGGCCTCTTTAAGATCACCAGTGTTACTAAACCCAGATTCTAAAGAGTAAACTATGGACAGATATATATTTGCCATGAAGCTTGCTCTAGAGCAATGTTGCTAGCTGGGAAATTCTGGGAGTTGAACTGCAAAGTAAGAAAAGAACTGACCTTTGAAAAATATAATTTCCTTGCAACATAGCCTCTTTTTCATTTCTCTTTACTTTGCACAAAATTAGTGGTCGTTTCTGTTGAGAACTGGGGGGAAAGTAAAGTGCCCCACCATTATCAAAAACCATTTAATTAGAAAGAAAATCACAACTGATAGCAGAAATGTGCCTTTTGTTTCATAACTCACACATATGCTTTTTCAGTCCATTTATGGCTGTCTGTTTCCCACACTTCTCTCTTTTAGCTGGTGCATTCAAGCATTGATGGATTCCAACTCAGAGAGGGATATATTTTAATATCTGCTGCAACTGGTTTTTCCTTTGATCTGAGTAAGAGACAGATAAAAGAGAGAGAAAATCATTTAGGAAATATGATTAGAAAATACCATATGTTAAACTTTTACTTTTTAAAAAGGAAAGCTTAAGAATCCCACTACATTCTGTTGAGGAAGATTGCCTTATATAGTTATATCAACTACTACCATTCTTAATTATGTGGATTGAAGGGAAAAGTGAATCATAAACTTTACTGCTGAGGTAAGGCTTATTCCTATATCAGGATATAAGCACATAAGCAATAACAGCTATTGCAATTATTTTTTTGATATTCATTACTAAAAACAGTCTGTGGTTGTTGTTGTTGTTTTTCCTTTTTTGCAGGTTAAATCTTCAGTAAGTTTGAGAACTAATTTTCAAACCTTAGTGTGAGTTCTTTACTAGAAAGAGAGAGAAAGAGAGACCTGGAGAGAAGAAAGAAGAGACTGCTTCTCTACTGAGACCAAAAATGTGATCCATGATCTCTTCTGCACAAAGTATTTTATAACCTGACAACAGTGGAACAGATAATCCTTAACGTACAACCACGGTTGGGACCAGAACTTCCATTGCTAAGCAAGTCAGTTGTTAAATGAGTTGTCATGTCTGACTTCACAAACTTTCTTGCCACAATTGTTAAGCAAATCACTATTATTGTTAAGTGAAACATGGAGTCATTAAATGAATACAGCTTCCCCCGTTGACTTTGCTTGGCAGAAGCTCACTGGCAAGGTCATAAATGGCAATCACATGACTTCAGAACACTGCAACCATCAACCATCATAAATATACACTCACCTGTGGGTCACATGACCATGGGGATGCATTGACGGTCATTAATGCAGGTGCCAGTTGCAAGTCATTTTTTTCACTGCCATTGTAATTTCAGATGGTCACTAAACAAAAAATTGAAAGTTGAGGACTACCTGTAGGGAGGGCAAAGAATTTGTTCTGATCGGTAAGGCCCAAGGTGGCTATCAAGCATTACCAGAAAGGAAAGTCCAGGATGGAGAATATAGGATGGGAACATCCAGCCAGGCAATAGAGGAGGACAGAGTAAGCCCAGATGCCAAAGAACAAGTTAATCCATTTCAAAGTGCAATGACACTCCACAGGTAGACCCCATCAATCTTCTTAGAGCAATTCTGCAACAGTTATTCTAGAACAGTGATGGCGAACCTTTTAGAGACTGAGTGCCCAAAAACCGCCTTGTCTCTACCCCGCCCCCGCCTTTCCTGCCCGCAGGGCCACCCACTGCCTCAACGGCTCACCACAGCAGATCACCAAGGCGGCCCAGCAGCTTCATGGTGGCCACGCCCTCTGTCCATGCCCCGCAGCATCATCTGCATGCAATGGGGCACAAGAGCGGAGTCTTGTCCCCACTGCCCAGCTGCCATGTCCTTGATTGCGCTGCTCTTCTTTGGGGGGGGGGATGCTGATGAGGGGGCCACGGGGGTGGCAGGGATGGTGGGGATGGGGCAACGGTGTGCGTGCCCACAGAGAGGGTTGTGAGTGCCTCCTCTGGCACGCGTGCCATAGGTTTGCCACCACTGTTCTAGAACATCAAAAAACATAAACAGTATGTAACATAATCAAGCTTGCACTTTGGTGCAAGTGTAAATATAATCACCAGGAGGAAAAATGATCAGGTATATTTTTCTAAGCCTAAGATCTATCTGCTCTGTACTCAAAATATCAGCAGCAAATAAGAATACCCACCACACCAAACCCACAGCAATGTCACAGAACAATAGTCTATGTTTTAAACTGCCTCTTTCCCAGCACAACAACTTTTCTCCTGAAAGCTCAGTGGGCTTTTTTTTGTTTTGTTTTTGCAGAAAAAAAGGCATCAAGATAGTTTCCAAGATGCTACACTATTTCCTTCTACTAGAAGACAGGGATCTTTCATCTTCTGGGAAATGCAAAGAAGAACCATTTTAAAAGATAGTTTTAATTGCTTACTGGCTAATACCGTGAGCCTGTTTTTTTAGCACTTGTGTAAAATGTCACAGCCTTTTGAAATTCCCATGAGTTGGTGAGATGTTTGTCTCAGCATATTTAAGAGCAACTTAATTTCATTTTTTTTTAAAATTCCTCCATGATTTTTCAGATACGGTAGTAAAGTTATTGCATCGACGATTCCTTTGCAAGTTCTGCAAACAGTAAAGATTGCATGACTCAGAGAAATGAGTTTGGATGAATGCTTGAGAGTACCCTCAAGGTGGGGCAATTTACCATTTATGAAAGGTATTTGGATTGAAATACCACTCAGACTTCAATCTATAATGATTTGATGGATATCACAAAGCAAATCAAGGGTAAGAGTTTTCCCCACCCGCCCTCCCACCCCGAGTTCTATTTTATATTTTGAAGCTGCATGTAGAAGAGTTATCTTTCCAGGTCACTAGCTATTTTGGTTTTCATTCACTTCGAAATCCGAATTCTTATAAACAAAGTCTTTGTCTTTACATGAAGTTTTACAAATAATGCATAGTTCAGTCCACAAACTGGTTAAGCAAGTAGTTGAATTTAAGCCTTTAAACTTTTTGAAGTGTTAAATGTTTTGCTTCAGTACAAACACAAATGCATCAATTTCAAAGAATTCCGGCATCAGATTATAGCTTGGCCAATATAACAGTATTGACAACAAGCTTTACACTATCTGAACAATGTCTTGGTTACACAACTAGAATACATGGTAAGTTCCTAGAGGGAAAAGAATCTTTGTCACTCACTACAGATACTTCTTCGGACCAGAACTTCCACTGCTAAGTGAGATGGTGGATAAGTACACTGGATCCAATTTTACAACCTTTTTTCTGTGACTCCTAAGCAATTTACATAGTTCTGAAGTGAACCCAGTTTCCTCCATTGACTTTGCTTGTCTGAAGTTGGCTGGGAAGGTGACAGATAGCGATCAATACATGCCAGTTGCCTAGTGTCTGAATTATGATCGCATGACCATGGAGATGCTGTGATGGTTGTAAGTGCAAGGATTAGTCGTAAGACACTTTTTTCGGCCCAGTCATAACCTCAAAACATTGGCTAAATGGATAATTATCCTAAGTTGAGAACTATCTGTAGTGAGAAAGGCACGGATGTCAGCCACTGAAGGAACCAAGATCAAATGTGCTGCTTGGCTTAGAGTAGATGTGCAGCATAATGTCCTGCGGCAGTCACATGGACTATCTCACACTCATTTGTGGGAGACTTGTTTGTTTGAAAATTAATGAAGTAACCAAAAGAGACTTAAGTAACACAGGGAAGCAGAAGTTTGGCTCACCTGAAACCTAACATTATGGTTCACTTGAACCAGCAAATGTGGGTGTGGGGGGATGTAAAGTCTGAGAATCTGAAATTATTCTGTTATGACTTTTCATTTTTCACATTCCATCTTCTTTGTTTGAATTAAGTTAAGAAAAGGGAACAGAGGAAGGCAGAATATACACAAGGTTTCTCTGTACATAATTTAGCAAAGCAGATGGAGGGCATTCATAACTTTGTGTGATTGGATACAAAGATGTATGCCTGTTGTATATTTGTATATTTCCTCAATGAGATCTTAGAAATGATTTTATTTTAACCAGTCTCATTTTCTTGTAAATCTCCAGTGAACATTTATCCTTCCATATTTTTTTTCAGAATGGTTTGAGGGCCTACATTGTACTAATATATTTAATATTTAATAGACCTGAACCAAATTGCTGAAGTTAAGCTCCATCTGAAAACCATCCATAAATTATTCTGAACTAGGATACTAAAAATAAATGTAATAAATTGAATGGAGTGGAAATAGTAGGTATCACTTTAAGATTTCCACCAACTGTGTGTGTATCTAGTGAGAATCCATTTGTTTCCACCCACAATTTCCACTCATCTCTGACCCATGGCTGTAAATGAAAGACACAACCAAATTCAAGATCACATCTCTTCTACCTTTCTGGTAGGCAGTCTGATACTTGGACTGTTACTTGGACATGATAAAGTAGACCACATCCTACTACTTGATAAGATAGAAGATAGAAAAATGTGGGTTAGACAGCATCACCACCAGATGGATTCATAACTGGCTGACCAACTGCACTCAACATGTAGTCCTCAATGGAATTGCATCTACATGGAGAGAAGTGAGTAGTGGGATGCCCCAGGGCTCTATCCTGGGCCCAATGATCTTCAACATCTTCATCAATGATTTGGATGAGGGATAGATGGGGAACTCATCAAAGTTGCAGATGACACCAAGCTGGCAGGAATAGCCAACACTCTTAAGGCTTAAGATATAGAAGGATCTTGACAGACTTGAATATTGAGTGCTATCTAACAAAATGAAATTCAGTGGTGAAAAAAGTAAGGTTCTACATTTAGGCAAGAAAAATCAAATGCACAGATACCATATATGTGGTACCTCACTCAATAGTAGTAACTGTGAGAGGGATCTCAGAGTTTTAGTGGACAATCGCTTAAATATGAGCCAACAATGTGCTGCAGCTGCCAAAAACAAAAAGGCATCCTTCCCATTCCTGATAGGAAATGTCAAGTGTGCACATGACATCTTCTAACCCACTTAATGGTAGTTCCTAGTCTATTTTTTACTTCCTGCCCATGCTGCCATTATGAGATAGGTTGTCCTTTGGATCTCGACCTCAGCAGGATAATGGAGGTTGCCTTCATCCCTTCCAACAGCATAACCATTCTTAACTCCTTAAAGCACGGATGGAGAATAAGCAACAACTAGCTCTTTGTTATAGAAGGCATAAGGAATGGACTTAAAGGACAGGAAGAAGAGCTGCTACCAAGGCAACAATCAGATAAAAAGGTTTGAGCCCATTTGAGGAACTACATTGAATAAACACCTCAGTCAGGTTTCTCCCTAGTTCACACTAAAAGAAGAGTTGCAAGATTTTATTACTACAGCTGTTACAATAACTATGTTATCCTATAATATATAATAATTATACCATAACTATGTTTATCCTAACTATGTAGCATTGGTTTCTTAGTCTGGTCTACCTTACAGAGCTGACAGTGATGCACTCTCTAGTCAAATCAACAGGTCCTTTGTTTTGATTTTCTAGTACTCAAAAAAGAAAACAGGTGATTAATCAGACTTTTCTATCTGTTCCCCTTCAGGACAAAACTGGTTAAGCCTTATTTATAACCATGAACCTTGCCTCAAGATCTGTATTTTCTTAGTACAAATAGTAAACGTGTTGGATTATAATGAGGGAGATCATTTTAGGCCTCCTCAATCACTGAATTTTAAAGGGTGATTTTGGGCCAGTTACTCTCTTTTAGCTGAGGCCACCTAAGGGTTACTTGGAGGGGGAAATAGGAGAAAGAAAATAATCCAAGTTGTGTCCATATCACCACCATACCAAATTTCTACATAGAACAACTGGTTGTTTTATCATTGTCTCTCTCATTTAAAGACAAATCTTCAGCAATGGGAATCCTTGTTTCCCAGAGAAGCTGAGCAGGGCCAAATGACCATGTATTCCCTTTGATTGTTTTATCATTAATCTGCACCAAAGTATAACTTTACTATTTTGTTTTTAGTGTATATGATTGATTAAGCAAAAGAAGATAAAACACTGTGTGGGTGAACAGACAGATAGACCGACAGATATTCTAGCAACTGAAGATTAAGAAATAAAGCTCATCTTGTTTATGGTAGGATTTAAAACAGAAGAATTTGATTCTGCATAGAACAGGGGTCTTCAAACTTGGCCCTTTTATGACTTGTGGACTTCAACTCCCAGAATTCCTTAGCCACGCATAAAAGGGCCAAGTTTGAAGACCCCTGGCATAGAACAACCAATATGTACATGATAAACAAATAAGGAATGAACTTGCTACTGTAAATTGTCCAAATCTATACATAACACATTGAGAAGAA